GAGAAGGGAGTTCCCCAGCCTGTAGGTGTGCCGCTGGTTCTTCCCCCCCAGGTGCAGCACCTTGCACTTGTCAGTGTTGAACCCCATCCTGTTCTCTTCGGCCCACCCCTGTAACCTGTCTAGATCTGCTTGCAGCCTGTTCCTTCCTACTAGCGTACCCACTTCTCCCCACATCTTAGTGTCATCTGCGAACTTGAACAGGGTGCTTTCTACCCGCTCGCCCAAGTCACTGATGAAGATGTTGAATAGTGCGGGCACGAGGACTGAGCCCTGGGGAACCCCACTGCCCATATTCCTCCAGGTCGAATAGGACCCATCCACCACCACCCTCTGGGTGCGGCCCTCCAGCCAGTTAGTGACCCATCTGACCATGAAGGCATCAACACCACTGTCTCCTAGTTTCTTACTGAGAATGGGGTGAGAGACCGTGTCGAAGGCCTTCCTGAAGTCCAGAAAGACTATATCCACTGTGACACCTGCATACAAGGACTTGGTGACCTGGTTGTAGAAGGCCACCAGGTTAATTTGACAAGACCTGCCCCTAATGAACCCATGCTGATTGCCCCTGAGCATAACCTCCCCTGCTGGCCCTTTTCTCCAGTTAAAAATAAACTAGAAGTCTTACTAACATACTAGGGACATAGGGCTGTATTATTCAGGTTAAAGATTGAAGTAAAAACAATTATAACTTTGTTGGAATGAGTTCAAAACAATCTGCAGGGCCATGCAATAGGATCTTCATTACCAGGAGCAGCTAACAGACAGCAAAATGGCAGAACAAAGGATAGCTTGACTGGTGGAACATCAAGACAATTAAAAAGAAGAGAAGGCCATTAACATCTGTGAAATAAAGAGTTTAGAAGGGATCAAGTAGATTATAATGAGGGATGAAATCAAGTGATTCCCTCAGCACTGCCTGACTAGAAATGATGCTACCACTACTGGGCAGTTGGTTGAGTGGAGCAGGAATCAAAGTGGGATACATGTGCACCAGTGCACCCCTGTGGATCCACTCCTACCCCTATAGTGATATAGATTTTTCAACAGAGAAATTGGCTGTGGCTCCATGTGAACTAACCTGTTTCTGAGATATAACCTAGTTGATGAGAGCTAGCTAATTTAGGTATATCTAGATGTATCATGGTAGTTCTCAGCCCTAGGCAGCATAAGCCAAAAGTCACTGCCAGTGCTGTCCCATTGACTTCCCTCATTCATGTTGTACTGCCAGTCTGGAAAAGCCATTCTTGAAGTATTCACACATTACTTCTCAGCACAGAGGCTACAACAGACCTAAGCAGCACAGGCAATTTAAATCATTACCTTATTTTACAGGACACCATTTTTTTTAAGTATTTTGGCAAGTAGAAGGAATAGACAATGCACTTTAATGTGTTTCAGGAAGCCAAAAGGTTTCACAACATTGATAAATCTTGGCAGAAGATTATGCAGAGAGCACATGAGACATCAAATATAGTACAGTGCTGTGTTGGAGATGAGATGTTGGCACAGCTGTTTCCACATTTACTGGAACAACTGGAAATATGTCAAAAATCACTAACTGGGTATTTGGAAAAGAAACGATTAGTATTTCCCAGATTTTTCTTTGTCTCTGATCCTGCTCTTCTGGAAATACTTGGTCAGGCATCGGATTCACACACTATTCAGGTATTAAAAATGTAGTAATAATCCTCTTTATAGTCAATATACTCAGTATAATAATTGATAAATTGATTTCCCCTTGCTATTTAATTCAGCTAAATGTATTCATTTGTGGAAAAACCTGTTTAGCTTTTTAATCTTTCGTGTTTGATGCAATCTAAAAGAGATATAAGAAATTGGTTTGTAGATCTTACGTGTATTGTCTCATTTTTATGTATTCTAGGGACATTTGCTAAGTCTTTTTGACAATGTTAATCGAGTGGGATTTCATGAAAAGAACTATGACCAGATTTTATTGTTTGAATCTCAAGAAGGAGAAAAAGTCAATATTATTGAGCCTGTTCTAGCTCAGGTAATAGAATACATACTTTTTCCAAGATCTAATTTAAAACGGATCTGTGAGAGGCACTGGCCCAGTTCTCTGTCACCCGATGTGTCACCCGATACTGCCATTAGAGAATCTGATTTAGAGAGGTTTTAGTTGCCAATTATGGGGCACAGTATTTATCCCCAGAGGAAGAAAGGTGATGTCTTTTCTTGTTCTGTTGCAACTTTTCCAGTTATTTCTTCAGTAGTGCTAAGAGGAATCTGGAAGCAGAGGCTGGCTTATTGAGGAAGAGAATCTTTGAAGGATGAAAGTGCTGACCCTGAGGAAGAAATATCTTCTGAAGATATTTCTGCTTTGTAGGGATAGAATACTTAAAGTTATGTGTGAGCTTTTGTTGTTTATTTGATTATTTCAGGGTAATGTGGAATGCTGGTTAGGACAACTGCTGAAGGGGATTAAGAAAACAATCCACAGCATCATTAGACAGGCATCTGTAGCCATCAGTGACTCAGCGTTCAAGCTTTATGACTTTCAGGCAATGTTTCCTGCACAAATAGGTCTTCTGGGAATTCAAATGATCTGGACCAGAGATGCAGAGAATGCCCTCAACAGTGCCAAAACAGACAAAAAGGTAGTGCTTATTAAGTCCTTTGGGGTTAATTAAAAACAATGTCCAGATAGGGACACTGTGCAAGTTTAAAATAAAGTGTGGCAACAAAGACACATTAATAAAGAACCCCCCTTGCCACCAGAATATCCGCGAAGCTACCCCACTACCCTGACTTACCACCTTCCTGGCTCCATGGCCCAGATCCAGTGGCTCTGCAGGCTGAACCATGCTCATAGGCTGTATGTTGCTGACCTCTATGTTAGCAGATTTTGATTCATTACTGCAGCCCTCATTCATGCAAAATAAAGTTGGCAGGTCATATACATAAACCAGGGGATGTTTATCAGTCAGCCTTTACAATTGTTTTTCCTGCAAATATTGAAAGATTAAATAATGTTTGTATAACATAATTGTTCTTGCTGTCTCTGAAAGATCATGAACACAACAAATCAGAAGTTTTTGGATCTTTTAAACGATTTGATTGACATGACAACACGCAATCTGACAAGAATGGAGCGCACAAAATATGAGACTTTAATTACTATTCATGTACACCAAAAGGATATCTTTGATGATTTGGTGAGTTTTTAAGAGATTTCTAAAACTCTCAGTTTACAGAAGCATTTTTTTTGCAAATGTAAAGTAACTTCAAAATGTATTGTCTTTGTATAATTCTGCTGTTAGCACTACAATATAGTACATGCTGTTTAATTTTTGCCTAGGGTTATGGTTATCTTAAAAGATTTAAATTTCAGATATTCTACTGGAATTATTTCACGAATGGAAACATTCAAATTTTCATTTAATTTACATTTAAATCCATCAGACTCCTTCCTTATGTAAATAACGTGAAACATGAAACTGCAGTTAGGAACCTGGGAGGAGACGAACATTGAAAGAAAGTGACTGTCTGCAGAGGAAGATGTCTTGTTAAAAGGATTTATATACATTTTACCAAAAATTACTAATGTACTTCTAACTAAAGATAGAAAGATAAGAAAGAAATAATATGGATAGTTGCAAGAGAAGCTGCCAGCTTTAGTATGATGCAGGAGGCTTTTTCCTGTCCATTTTATTTTTCATTCATTTTTATAAGTATTTTCAGTTTCCTCATCAGGTACTCACTGGTTCCCCCCATCCTATCTCCTACAAAGAAAGGAGGAAGAAGAAATTCACATCAGAGAGAGGGACGCAGTGGGTGAAGGAAGTGACAGTTGGGACACTGGCCCATGAGAGACCATTTTTTGTTCTCTGATATGTGTTTCATATCAATTAACTCATTGAGAAATATTGTAAAATTTTGCTCTGTCAACCCTCAGAAAACTGGTTAATCCTAAAGAGTTTTACTTGAGATGACAAGCTAGCCATAATGGAAGTGCTTAAGGTAGGAAAAAGGAATAGTCTCTCATTGGCCAGTGCCCCAAATGTCATCTCTTTCACCCAATGCATTCCTTTCCCTGCTATAAATTTCTTCTTCCTCCTTTGTTTGATAGGAGATAGGATGAGGGAGTCAGTGGGCATGTCTACACACGACATTTACTGTGCAGTTGACTAATTAACTGTGTAGTAAACATCTCAGTCTACACATGCATCCCTATTAGGGTGCAGGAAATTAATAAACTGAGCAGCAGGGTAGTACTTGTAAATACAAGTACTACCCTGTTGCAGAATTTTTTCGTGTGCAGCAGCACACATGTAGACACTGAGCCAACCTCAGCCAGCCCATCCATAGCATGTTGAGCCTAGCTGGAGCAGCCCTGGGCTGGCAGACTGTCCCTCTGGGTCCCCTGCAGACCCCTGATCTGACTCAATGTGCTGTGGTCCAAGCACACGTGTAAACAACATGCTTGGGAGCTTCCTGGGAGCAATAAACTGTGGTGCAATAAGCTCTGCAGTTTATTACTGCACATTAATGGCACATGTAGATGTGCCCAGTGAGTATCTGATGAGGAGACAGAATCTAGACTAGAATGTAGTAGCTTCATATAGTGAATAAGACTTATGGTAGATATGAAGCAAGAAGCTAGCCCAGGGGTGGGCAATTATTTGGGCCCAAGGGCCAGATAAAGTGTTTTGATGAGCTGTCACAGGACAGGTCAGCACCCACCCTCCCCCTGACAGCTCACCAAAACTCCCTATGGGTGGGTGAGGAGCAGTATTCAGGACTAAGACAGGTGTGATCTGCTCCCTGCACTCCCTGCCCTGTGAGGGGGAGGTGACGTGGTGGGGGGTGTATGGGGGCATGTGGAGGGATAGGGGTGCTGCTTAGGAGCCAACGGGAGCAGGTGGGGATCAACCCCATGTGGAGCACTGCGGAGGCAGCCGTGGGCTGGATCCAGCCAGTTGGCAGGCCAAATCCAGCCCGCGGGCTGTATTTTGCCCACCCCTGAGCTAGCTCGTGTCATAAATATATACTTTCTTATGACTTTAACATATGAACAGACCAGATTTAAACTACCCGTCAGTTAGTGGTGCACATTTCAAAAGTGATGATGGTTTCTTATATCCTTTAAGATAATTTCAACTACTTATGGACTGATTTTAGAAATATTCGTGCATGTAGGTTTCAAACCATTTTGAGATTTACAAGCTGTGTTGCAGATTTCACAAACAAAAAATACTGCTTCATGTACTTCATGTTCCCTCCTCCTCTCCTGCAGTGTCTAGAGATGGCATATTTCAAATTCCTGGACATACATGTTGCATCTGTGTTTCTAAGTGTTTTTAACTTTGGCAGCCTTCTCCCAGCTGTCATCGAACTACAGTCTGTCAGTGGAGTTGATAGATGATCAGTCTATCATCGAACTACAGTCTTTCAGTGCATCTATGTAATGTCAGTTTGGACTTGGGATTACTGGATATCTTCCACATTACACAAGTTATCTCTTTCCAATGTGGGTACAGCAAACACGACCGACGTGTGCAGGGACAAAATTAGGAATACCAAGGCACGATATGAGATGCAACTGGCAAAGGACATAAAAAGCAGTCAAAATGTATTCTACAAGTATGTTAAGAGTATGAGGAAGGCCAAAGAAACCACAAGTCCCTTATGGAATGCAGATTGCAATCTAGTTACAGGCGATGCAGAGGAGGCTGAAGTATTTAATGCTTTTCATTTCAGTTTTCAGAAATAGGGGCAAGTGCTAGATGATGAGTGCAACTGACAGCAAAAATAGAGAAAGCGTTAAACAGTCTAGAGCAGGGATGTTGAACCCTTGTCCTGCAGTCCAGATCCAGGCCCCAGTGCTGTGGCATCTGGTCCATGGGGCTCCCCACAGGTCCAGAAATTTGGCCCATCCATGAGAAGCCCTGGGCCTCATGTACTAGGTTGGAAATCTGATCCCAACCTGCAGGACTAGAGAGTGGTGTGGCCTGCCAGGGCCCAATCGTAGCACACTGGGGCAGTGCTGGGTCCCAGAGCCTGGTCATGGTATATGGGGTCCAATTTGGCCATGGACTCATCCTGTACCACTCATCTGGGCTGTAGAACCAGAAGTTTGAGCACCACTGTCATATAATAATGGAAGAACAGGTTAAGGATTCCACAGAGATGCTAGATTCTTTCAAGTCTACAGGGCTAGATTGGGATTCACTATGGGGTACTAAAGGAATTGGCTGAGGTAATTTCAGAGCCTTTAGCTGTCCTTGTTTATGAATTTGTGGAGGCCAGATAAGGTCCCAGACAATAGGAAAATGGCAATTATAAGTGCTCATCTTTAAGAAAGAGAAGAAGGAAGATCTGGGGAATTACAAACCAGTCAGCCTGACCACAGTACTTGGAAAGATCATGAAGCAGGTCCTCAAGGAATCTATCGTAAAGTACTTAGAGGAGAGCAAGAGCAAGTCATGCCTGACCACCCTCATTGGTGATAGGCTCTGATGATGTTGGGAGAGTAGTGGATGTGATATACCTTTTACTTTAAGAAGGCTTTTGACACCGTTTCTCATTAAAATTAACATTCTCATTAATAAGCGAAGGAAATACAGACTAGTTGGATACACAACTGGTTAGATCATCATGCTCGACAAGTAGTCATCAGTGGTTTAGTTTCTACTTGGGAGGAGGCATCAAGTGGGGTTCCCCCTGGGTCTGCCCTGCATATGATATTGTTTGTTATCTTCATTAATGATTTGGATGATGGGATTGAGTACATGCTTAGCGAATTTGCAGATAACACCAAGTTGGGTGGAGTTGCAGACATTCTGGAGAGTAGGGCTAGTATCCAGAATGACGTGGATAGAATGGGAAAATGGTCTGTAATAAACCAGATGAAATTCAGCAAAGTCCTGTGCTTGGGACGAAATAACTGCATGCACAAATACAGACTGGGGAATGACTGGTTAGGCTGTAGTACTGTAGAGAAGGAGTGATGGATTACAGTAAAACATAAGCTGAATATGAGTCAACAGTATGCTCTTGTTGCCAAAAAAGGCCAACAGTATTCTGGGTTTTATTAACAGGAATATCACTTGCAAATCCAGGGACATGATTTTTCCACTGTATTCAGTACTGGTGAGGCTTCAGATGTAGTACTTTTTCAGTCTTCGGTCCCACCCTTCAAGTAAGAGATGAACAGATTGTAGAGTTCAGTGCAGAACAACAAAAATAGTCATGGGAAGCATGACTTATGAGGAAAGGCTGAAAGAACTGGTTTTATTTAACCTGGAGAAGACTGAGGGGGGATTTGATAACAATCTTCAAACTACCTGAGGGGTGATTTTACAGAGGATGAAGATGGGCTTTTCTCTGTAGGTGCAGCTAACAGGACTGAAGTAGAGAAAAATTAGGTTGGAGATTAAGAGAAACTTTCTGACTATGAGTGTGCTCAGGCATTGGACTACATAGAGAAATGTTGGAATCTCCATGCCTGGAAATTTTCAAGAGCAGGTTGGATAGACACTTGGCTGGGGTGGTTTATTTGGAGATGATCCTGTCTTGCATAGGAGGCTGGGCTGGGCTGGACTAGATGAGGACCCTTCCATCCCAACTTTCCTTTGATCCTATGACTCCATGTATTGAACGCACTAATAGTTGAGCAAAAACTTCCTATCCTATCACAACTCTACTTTCACAAACTTATCAAGTTCAGCCTTGAAGTGATTCAGGTTCTTTGGTCTCCCACCTTTGCTTGGAAGACCATTCGAAAACTTCACTGCTTTAATCATTAGAAATCTTCTAATTTCAAAACTAAATTTATTTGTAGGTAATTTTTAGCCATGTGATCTTGTATCAGTCTTGTGTTTTAGCCCTAATAGCTCATCTCTCTCCCTAATATTCACCTTATGAAATGAACCTCATGAAGAGTGATCATATCTCTTCTCAATCTCCATTTTACTAAATTAAATGAGCCAAGCTTCTTCAATCTTCTTTCATAAGGAAATGTTTATATTCCCTTAACCACCTTATTTTAGTAGCCCTCTTTGAAATTCATACCAGTTTAGGTTAATCTTTTTAACATTTGTGACCAGAACTGCACACACAACTCTAGATAGAATGCCTTCAGTGATGGGGCAGTGTGCTTGCTGCAGCCTTGAAGGCTTTGGTCAGTTTCCTAAACACCTAATTCTTGGGTCTGTTCTCTGCACTTTTTTGTAGCTGCCAAATAAAAACAAAAATTACTAAGTGATAACAGTCAAACACTTCTGTGTTTTCTTATGTAAACTATGAAACAGACTTTTATGAACCAAGGGTGAGGGAAACTGGGAGTGGTTTGTCATTTGGCAGCTGGGAAGGGGAGAAGATGGCAGATGGCCAAACTGTGGCCCATTAGAACTGAGATCTACTCAGTGAGTGCACAAGGAGGAATTTTGTGGTGTGGAGTGGAGTGGCCATGGTCTACTGCTGGCAGAGGCTGCTGTCGCTATAGCTGATGGTACAGCTGAGGCTGCAGGAGCATAGGGGACCAACATGGAGACCTCCCTGAGTCTTGCCTTTTTGCCTGCTCAGTATGCTTATGAGAGTCTGCTGGGTGTTTCTGTCCACCCAGTGATCACCATCCCATGTGGATCAGTATCTCTGTAGTCTGCTTTGCCATACACACTACCTTCCCAGTGACCTACATTCCTCCTAGCCTCAACATGCCCTGCCTCACCAGGTCAGCACACCAGTCCAGGTGAAAGTCTGCCATGACCCTCCACTCCTCAGCAGCAGCCCTCTACTCCAGTGATACCACAAGGTCAGCCAGCATGTTCTCCTTACTGCGTCTTCTCCTGCTCTTGTGCCTGGAGGCATGCTGTGCTACAATCTCAGAGCTGTGGCCCTGGGAGCTTCCCTTGGAATGGGTGTTGAACCTGAAAGGACAACTATGAAACAAGCCTCTTCTTCAGTTTTTGCAACATTAAGATAAAGTGATGAACTCCCAAACATGTGTCCACTTCCCATTTCAATAGTCCCTTTGTATTTGTTCCTGGACCCTGAGATGGTAAGTTCCTGTGCATGAGTGCCCCAGAACCTAGTCTTCTTACCCCAGCTCTCAACCTGGAGTTTAATTTCTGGGGCATGATAGCTTAATGGGGGAGGGACCTCTTAATGGATTCTTCCTTATCTTCTCATTGTCTCTTTCTCAGTGGTAGGGAATGGGAGGGAAGTTGTCATTGGCTTCCCCATTAAGAATCGTATAAGACATTATACGATTCATTCTCTCCATTTTGTCCTCCATTCTCTCCATTCATTCTCTCCATTTTGTCCTCTAATTTCCCAAGATGCTTTCTCCTGGGCTCATGTCTTTATTGTGACCTTCTGCCAAAGAAAGGAACTGTTTTGGACAACTGCTGTCCAATTTGACAATTTTCAGCAAGATCCCTACTGTCCCGTCCTCACCTCTCCCCTTCCCCCCACAAATCCTTCAGCTTAATCACTGTGTCCTTTAGCATAACTCTTAACTGTAATGGTTGTGGGGAAGGATATTAATTTCTGGTGCCAGCCCCATGCAAACATGCCAAAACTCAGCACAAGGGGACCATAACATGGCAAGTTAGCATGCACCATAACTAACTTTGAAGATGTGCTGCCCTGATTGGTGCAAAGCCTCCTGATTAGCACTACTGAACAGCCTGCTCAAAGTTGTCCTGTCCTTCCTGTGCCTGTTCCTCAGTTTTAGCAGGGATGGGAGCCAGGGGCTCATCCTGCTTTTTGCTATCAGTGTCCTTGGTGGCCTCAGAGTTGACCCTGGAGCTGGCAACAAAATGGGCTCTCCTGAATCCCTGCTAGAATCTGTGACAGCTCTTCATCTGGCAGCTACCAGGAACTCTGCCTTTTAAGACATTTCATACCATCAGTATTGATTTTCTTGGCATGCTTTTGTCTGAAGTAATGGATTTTAAATTTGATCTGAAGGAGCATCTAACTTCTAAGTGACTTATGTTTTGATCAGCTGTCTGTACTGCTCATAGAACAAGAAATCCTGATCCCTTTGGTGGACGTTAACATAATCAGTTATGTGACATTGTTTGAAGCATAGGGGCATCAGTGTTGTTTTATATTTAGCAGCTCTTTGGAAGTCTGTGTATATAATTATGAGGCTGTGTTCCACACACTTTAAGAGAAGATGCACACTATTTAAGTTAGCCTCTCTGACACCCTGGTGTCCAATGATTTTTGCACCATGGTTCATTATCACAGCCTACACAAGCATGAAAGTCCCTCAGGATGTTTAATTTGTTGCTGGGTAGTATTGTGCAGATGACACTACTCCAGTCTTCTTAAAATGCCTCTGATTTAATCTGTTTGAGCCATAGGTGCTGCACAAACACTGATAACTGTAACATAACAATCCCAAAGGTTGCTTGTACATGCGATGAGGGTTTAGTTCTCCCTGAATTGAAATGGTGCATTGTTAATTGACACAATTAAAAACCCACCGTTTCAATTTAGGGACTTCAGTCACTGTGACGGAACAGTGACAGACCCCCATCAGCTCACCCCCTCTCCTCGCACCGCCACCATGAGCGGGCTCTGTCAGAGCGGGGGAAAAAAAGCAGTGAGGGGCCCAATCCTTTTTTCCTCCCCCCCTGGAGCCTGCCTGCCTTTCCTGCAGCCAGGGGACAACCTGCTAGCAGTCCCTGAGCTGCTGGGGGGGGGCCAGCAGGAGGAGGCTGATCCTTCCCTCTGTGGCAGCAGAGCACCCCGGGTGGCACCTGTTCACTAGCACCCCACCCAGGTGATCCTGGCGGGGTACCACTGCCACAGAGGGAAGGACTGGGCCCTCTGAAGCTCAGGGGCTGCACAACATGGTGGCAACTCACCCAGGCAGGGTGAGAAAAAAAAAAGGAAAAAAGTATTGAGGGGCCTGCCCATGTCTCTCATGGCCGGGAGGTGAGCTGCCAGTGGGCTGAGCAGCCCCTGAGCTGTGGGGGGGCCTTGTCCTCCCCTCCGTGGTGGCGGCGCATTCAGGACTGCCTGGGTGGGGTGCTAGTGGGCAGGTGCTGCCTGGGGGGTGCTGCTGCTGTAGAGGGAATGATCGGGCTCCCTGCGGCTCAGGCCCCACCAGCAGCTCACCTCCCAGCCACGGGAGAGGCAGGCAGGCTCTGGAAGAAAAAAGAATAAAAGATCAGGCCCCTCACTGCTTTTTTCTTTTTTTTCTCAGCAGAGCCTGCCCACACGAGCTGCTGCTTGGTTCTGCAGCTCAGGGTCCTCTTGGCCCACTGGCAGCTCACCCCCCTGGCCATGGAAGAGGCGGGCAGGCTCCGCCAGAAAAAAAAAAGAAAAAGTGGGCTGCTTGATGCTTTTTTTTCTCTTTTCCCTTGGTGGATCCCACTTGTGTGAGCTGCTGTCAGGCCAGGAACCTCTGAGCTGCAGGGGGGCCTGGTGTTTCCCTCTGTGGCAGCAGCACCCCCCGTGGGCCACACAGGTGGGCTGCTAGTGGGCGGGTGCTGCCCCAGGTCTCAGACATCACCCAGCCCTATCCAACAGTGCATGAGGCACTGGAAGCCCAGGCATGCTTGGGGAAGCTCGGGCTTGGTAGACTTCCAGTGCCCCATGTACAGTCCCTGCTGCCTTCCTGCTTCCTGAGACCTCCCAGGAACAGCCTAGCTTGCCCCTGGGGCAGTGCAGGAAGGCGGCAGGAGGGCAACTAGGTGTGCTGGTGGCTGGAGAAGGTGGTGGGGATGGTGAATGGGGCACTGGAAGGCCGCCGAGCCTGAGCTTTCCTGAGCATGCCTGGACTTCTAGTGCCCCGTGTACCCCGGGCCATCTTCTCCAGATGTATCGCTGCAATTTGTTACATAGCAAACTAAAATACAGCGGATGTGTTTTACTTTGCTACATAACAAAGTCATTTAAAGTGAAATATGCTGCTGCATGTCTACAGCATTACTAAATTAAAATGAAGTATGCTGCCACAGGTGTAAACAGTGACACCATTAAAAGGGTGCAAAAGGGCAATTAAGCCGCTTTAAAGGCCAATTTCCTTATGTGTACAAGTGCCCCATGGGACTGATACGCATGACCATTAGTTTGTCACTCATGCATCTGCCCAGCCTATGTGCAGTGGGTGTACAAATAACATCATCTGATTCTCTCTTCCACACTCATTTCTTCAGTCTGATTAGGTGATATACTATGAGCTGAGGGTGCTTATTCTTCTAACTTGTGGATAGATATTGACACGTTTCACTTCCTCCCCTCATATTTATATAATACTATTTGTTTACACTTGATTTTGCTCTTTCATTTTAGGTCCATATGAACGTTAAATCTCCATCTGATTTTGAATGGCAAAAACAATCTAGATTTTACTTTATTGAAGATGTGGACAAATGCACCATCCAAATCACTGATGTAGAGTTCAGCTACTGCAACGAATATTTAGGCTGTACAGACAGACTTGTCATAACTCCTTTAACTGACAGGTAATTGGGAAAATATTATATATAATATGTACTTTCCAGGCCAAACCAGAACCCTTATTCACACCCGAGGGAATCCAGATTTGTCCCATAATATACACCAATTACGTCTAAGACCAAAGGGAGTTAATAAGCATGCACTGAAAGAAAGAACATCTTGTTCACCCCCCCTCAGTTTTGTATAACACAGTCACTACAGTTATTTACTGAACATTAGGTAAATAACAGTAAAAAATAAAGGAACTTTCTGGTATGTCTAGGTGCTATATCACATTGGCTCAGGCGCTGGGAATGAGTATGGGTGGTGCTCCAGCAGGACCTGCAGGTACAGGGAAAACCGAGACAACTAAAGACATGGGCAAGTGCCTCGGAAAGTATGTTGTTGTCTTTAATTGTTCAGACCAAATGGACTACAGAGGTCTGGGACGCATTTATAAAGGTAGGAAACACTGGGTTTATTCTGTTCATTTTAGTAGTTAAAATAGAAATGCCCTTGTCTCTGGAATGTATTTGTGGACAAGTGTGAAACAAAGAAGGGATCTGCCTGGTGAGGATTTTTCAGAGCCATCAGGACAGTGAAAAAGTGCTTAAAATTAGCTTGGTGAAAAAATAAATAATGGGGGTAACAAGCAAGCAGTCCTTTTTATTTGACCAGCTGACTTGGGAATAATATTGCTAGTTTATTAGGGACAGAAGAAACACTTGTAAATAAAAGCATCTGCTTGTCCCCCAGAGAAATTTCACATATTTGCTGGGATATATTATCTGTTTACACCTTGATTGAACTAGAGGACATGGTGGAGACTAGAAAATATTCATCTCAAATGAGACTATGACTTCGTTCTATTTTATTTCCCCTCCCTTCCCTTGCTTTTCATTTTCTCACCCTTTTTTCAGTAGCAGCACTCCTTTCCTTTTCTGTATTAGTATGCTGTGTTTCTTCCCTCCTTGTTCTCTTATATCCCATTCCATACACTTTCTCAGCACCAGTTCTGCTGTCTCTCTTCTGTTTCTCTTGTTCTTTTATATCCTTTTCCCCACTCTTTCAGTTCATTGTTCCCATTCACATTTTGCCTTAACCAATCCCCTCCAACTGCTAGTCTGTTTTTTCTTCTCTTTCTCTTCCTCCTAATTGATTTCATAGTCACCTAATCTCTTTCTTTCATCTGTTGTGGGTATTTCACTTCTCTCCTCTCTATGCTTCCCCAGCATCATTGTGTTCCTTAGTTCTTCCACCATTTCAGTCTCTCATCCTCCTTCCCCATTACTCTATCCAGTGTCTGTGTGAGCTTCATAGTGAACCTTGCAAACCCTCTCTTCTGTAAAATACATTGTTTGTGAATATTGGTTCTTTTTAAAGCATGGGTCTGTTTTGAACTGTGTATAATGAGGTAGCAATCACACTTTAATATGTTTCCATGATCAAGAATGATGTTATATTTAGGCTGAGTCCCTACTGAAGTAACAAATAATGGCTATGGAACTTAGCAGAACCTAAAGTTCCAGAGATCACACTGAGTGTGGTGTGCACCCAAACCATAGTGAAATAGCATAAAATGTACTTGCATTATTGTGATGTCTTATGTGGAGTATGACTTCAAAGTATTCCTCTTCATTTTTAAATTTAGAAGTTAGCAAAGCTAGCCATGATTTTAATAGCAATTGCTACTGTAACTGCCTTTGTTTTTTACTTTCTAATTTTAAACTTAAGTGAAAGCATTAAAAACAGCCACTTAAATTTTCCAAATAAAGACTGAAAAGGTGAAAATTATTCTTGTCATGGATTTATTTGGATTTGGAGGATTTCTGTTTTTGGCTGAGAGAAATTTTTCCATCTCTTCCATTCTTAGTGTTCCCCTATATTTTTGGTTTCGTTTAATTGACAACCTAACCCTAATTTCTTTTCCCAGTCTAGGTGGGTCTTTTCTAGATCTGACCCAAAGTCTGTTGAGGTTAACAGAAGGATGCCCACAGTTTCACCAGCATTTGACATACTAGAAAGGCCTACTATTCCTTCTCCTTATGATAGCCTTTTGTTCTTTTAAAGATGTTAGTTAGGCCTCATTAACCTGTCAGCTGGCTACATTTTCAGGCCGTAGATGCCACTATGCAACTACAAGGGACACACATAACTAAACAGCCAGTGTGCAGCCTACTGTGCATACCCAGTTTGCATGCATATGTAGTTGTCTACATGTATCCTTATGTGACCAGAAATGAAATTCTTACCTGCATGTAAGTGCCAAAAATGCCATGTTATCAGTAGAAAAGCAGTCACTTAAATGACCAGAAAGTGGATAGAAGGCCACCCCTGGTAAGAAACTACCTGGTTTATGGTGCTCACTCCACATTTTAAATTTGGTGTGGTTAGGTGTACAAAAAACAATTATTCACGGAGACGTAATGCTAGTTCACTGTGCTACTGTGGACAAACTGAGTTTAACACAAAGTGGAAGGCTGTTCTTGTCATGAGGGCATCCAGGGAGAACTTGCCAAACTGTATAATAGTCACCCATGCTAGCTGAAGAAACAACAGTGAACACCTCAATTTTCAATTTTGGAATTTTTTATATTACCAGAACTTTTGTTTTTTCTTATGAAATTTCCCAACACATAAGCTGGAACATTTTATGCCTTGTTTTCTATTCAGCATAAAACATTCTGGGCTGAGGCCTTTGAACACCTGGGCTAGGGACAGACATTCAAAAAGCCTGAGTCTGAATTGATTCAATCTTTGCAAGTTAGTCTAACCTGGTTAGGCTGAACCAGTTTGTAACCGTAAAGACATCCCCTGTGGACTGGAAAAATGCAGGCACATGCCTGCTGTGGCTCAGGCTAGAAGCTGGGGGTGCTAAAGCAGCCCTCCCTTCCCTTCCACAGTGTTGAGCTGAGGGGGAGGGTGTGGCCAGGCCCCAGCAGGACACTGATTAAGGAAGGCTCCCCACCCCCCCACCCCCATGGTTCCTGACCAGGGAGGGAGCCAGCAGGGAGTTGCACAAGGAGTAACAGAGCATTTAGCACCCCATCAGGAAAACAAAGGCCCCTCTCTCACTAGTTCAAGCTCTTCTTAAACAACTTTTTCCAAAGAAGGAATGGAGGGACATTACCAGCTGACCTGTTGATTAGCTCCAAAAAGCCCTAAGCAGACACTTTCCTGTCTGCCTTTGCTGTCTCCGCAGGAGCTCCAGCTAGGGAGCAGAGGGGTGGGGCCAGCTCTGCTATGAAGCAGACAGCACAGCCCAGGGCTGCAAAGCATCTGGGATGCTGGGGGACTCTGGTTTAAGTTAAACCAGGAAGGGGTCTGGGACAGATATTGCATAAGCCAGTTTGACCCAAATCAGTTGAGTCTGATACTGCATTCAACCAGGTTTATTTCAGACCGGTTTCAGCCATTTCAAACTGATTTATGTGCATTGAATATCTGTTCTGTTATAGATTTAAACCAGTTTATGATCACTTGAACCAGTTTATGTGTAATGTCTGTCCCTAGCCCTGAAGATAAGGACTAAGACCTTGAGCTTGGATCAGTGTTCATTAGGAAGGCGATATTGAGGAAGGGGACAGTCTGATGAGATTGTGGCAATCCCTGTTGCTGAGAAGGCATATTGTCACTTTCCCTATTTGCGCAATTTTAATAGATTTATGATTATGATCATATTGCATTGTCTTAGTCCTGACTTGAAGTGGCAAGGATGTGCATCAGTTTAACATTTGCCAAGACTGAACAGTTCATGAGAAATGGAGTTGAAGGGCCTGTTTAGGAATCACTATGCAGTTGGTTGAGGCTAGCATTCAATGATAATGATTCACCAAATCCTGAAACCCTTGTCTTGTAGGTGAAGTGAGCTGCCATTTAGTAGAACTGAGACTGATGGAGTCAGAGTCTGTTTTCAAAACAGGCCCTTGGGACTTTATTGTTGCCTGAGAGAGCGCTGACCACTGTCTCTATAAGGACATGATCTGTTTAAGAAAGTGGTTATGTTGAGATATTGATATCCAGTCTAAAAAATCAAGTCTAAAGTGTGGCTGGCTGTATGGTCTTGACCAGAAATTACTTATGAGAGCCTTAGGGAGGAAAAGGAGAAGATGAGCTTTTGAGGGTTTTTTTCTATCTGTGGCATTGTTTATGTGAACATAAAAGGTCCAAAGGTACTAAGTTGGGGAAGATGTAGAAAACTACTTAGGGCCAGATTTTATTCCACCTCTCAGGCAGATAAGTGGACTTAGACTCTTAACTGCAATTCTGTTCCACCCTGCTCAAGTTCCTGAAAACACACAAATAAAAATTGGGGGGGGGGGGGGGGAATCCTCCTCCTCCTCCTCCTCGTTGCTTTACTGTTATTTACTCTGAAGGGTCAGATGACAGAGTGTTCCAAAGTAGAAGCAATATGGATTTTCAGGGACTTCAACAGGGTAGAATAGAACAGCTAGGTGCCTTTGTCTACTTACATGCCCAATGGATGGTATAGGCTCAGGGCCTTGACTACCTAAAATTAGTGGTGCCCCAATACATCAGTCCCATATTGGATCGGCACTGATACTAGGAAAATTGAGAGTATTCGGCGAATCTGCGATCCGGACACAGGCATAGCTTTAAAAGTTTGTTCTACATACCTTGAGGTATCAGCACGGTTTGTGATCACTGCAGTGCTGGGGTGCATGCAGCATCCCACAGGAGCACAGGGGGCTCTCCAGTGTGCCCAGCAGCAAACCCAGAAGTGGACTAGAAGTACTTCCGGTCCACTTTCGGGTCTGCCAGGGAGCACGTTGGGGGGGCCCTCCACACCCCTTCAGCTCAGTGATCAGCTGCAGGGGGAAGCTGGGTGCCCCCCCAGACTCAGGAGGCACCAATTGTCAAGTCAGGGGGAGACGTGGGGGGCCCCCCGCGCGCTCCCCGGTGCTTCTGGTCCACTTCCGGGTCTGCTGTCAAGCACACTGGGGAGCCCACTGTGCTTCTGTGGGACACTGCATCTACCCCAGCACCACAGTGTTCAGAGCCCCTGCTACCTAGAGGTATGTAGAAAAAACATTTAAAGCTGTATCTACGTCTGAATCACCAAATCTCTCTGAATCAATTTGGAGGGTTCCAAATCAATTTGGAGAAATTAAAGGGTCCTCTGATTTGATTCAGAGATTCGGCCGCTGAATTGAGTCGAATTTCAGCCGAATCAAATCGGGGACCAAAGCTTTGCACAGCCCTACTGCCTGTCTTGACCTCAGACCAGCCCAGCCCCCTGCCATAAAGAGCCCAGTGCAGCCCCATCCTGCAGCAGCAGCCTGACCTGCCCCGCGTGTAGCGTGTAGATCCAGGCACCCCCCCTCCCCATTCCCCTCACCCCATGCCCTCCCAGGGTGTGCACAGTGGCAGAAGCTGCCATCCCCGCCCTGTGCCCCCAATAGAAGCCGCGGCTCCACCCTGTGCCCTGCCCTGCTCCAGCT